TCGTGTTACAGGTAGAGGCAGCGAGCTACTGGCGGTTCATGGAGCACCGACTGTCTGCTGTGGATGGGGCGTTACACTGGGGGTGGGTGGCACGTGGGTGCTGAGAGGAATCAGACACTGACCTGCAGACAGACGCTCCCATGTCACAGGAGAGTCCCGTGCAGGTCAGGGTGAATCTGGCGCTGTGGGGCACAGCGGGAGACAGGGTGTGCCCCAGGAGGGGCAGGAGAGGGGCTTCCCAGAGGAAGAGGTATCTGAGTGGGATTCTAGAAAGTCAGGCAGGTGGGGTCGAGGATGGTGGGCAACACTGACAGGTACATCCTCTCGAGGAGTTGGAGCTGTTTATGGCCCTTTGCCAATTTGGGGACAGACTTGAGGGGAGGGTGTGGGATGGACAACAAGGATACAATTAATTAATTAACTCCAGCTGAACAGGCCAGAGACTTGCACTTTTGGGGGCTGGAGATCAAGGAGGCTTCCTGAAAGAGGTGGCCTTGGTGCTGGGCCTGGCAGACAGGCGCGATGCTGCTAGATGGAGATGCAGAGACGGCCTTTGCTGGTGTAGTCCGATGCCCCGGGCCAGGCGCAGTGCTGTCAGGAAGCGCCTCTGATGGGGCAGCTCCGTGGGTGTCCAGAGCCCTGGGGAGAGGGTGGCTGTCTCCCTTCTCCAGGCGGCTTGTGGCTCTGCTCCCCCACCCGACCCCCCAGGAGGAGGAGGAGGTGCCGTGGCGCTGATGGAAATGCAGAGGCTGGGCTGCTGCAGCCCAGCACTGTCACCATGTTCTCCCTTGCACGCTGGAACCTGACACCCTGACCACTGAGGCATAAAAAACAGAGAATTGGAAGGCTCAGCCTGTCAGGCTGGGAGTGGCCCCCAGAGAGGCCAGAGGAGCAGCGCATGTGTGTGTGCGCGCGCGTGCGTGTGCATGTGTGTGTGCGCGTGCGCATGCCCTGCCTGCAGTTGCCTGTGGAAGTGGGGAGGAGGCTGGCTGGGCCCGGGGGTGGGAGCAGCTGGCCCTCGGGCCTGCTTTATTGTTCCTGCTGCACCTGGTGGAGCCCTGGGGTCCCTACACTTGGGCCGAGGCCCCCAGAGAGAAAGCAGTGCTCCAGGTCCTGACTTCTGGCTGGCCGTCCTTCTAGAGGCTCCTGCCCTTCGGCCCTTTGGCATCCCTAACAAGAACCCATGGAAGCATGGATGGTGCCAAGGGTGGCCTCATGGGGCTGTGACTCCTGTCACCACTGCCAGGGTGGGGCCCACATGCTCTGTAACCAGTAGCCTAAAAAGCCACTCAACAGCCAGCTACCTATACAACTGCTGCCAGGCCCTGGGGCTCCCATACCCCAGGAGCTGCAGCCACAGGGAGGAGACAGGAGGGGCCTGTCCTGCTGCAGAGCCAGGGCAGCAAGGTTTGAGGGCAGGGATTTTGAGCTCCTCTCCTGACACTGGCTAGTGGTAAAGAGGCTCTCCTGTGGCTGGAAGTGAGGGCACAAGGAAGTGCCAGACGCAAGCATCATGGCTCCACGAACAGCTGGGCAAGAGTGAACCGTCATTTACCACTCTGCCCGCCCACACCCACTGCTCTCTCCACCTGGTGCAGCTTGCAGCTCTTGGTCCTTTCCCCATGCCCAGAAGGCCCCACCCAGTCGCTCTTCTGTGCTCCCCCAGCCCTTCAGCTTGTCCCTTCATCTCAGCAAAGTGCCGGGGGCCTGAGTTTATGTCTCATCTTCCCCATTGGACTGAGGCCTGGGGAGCAGTCATCTCTGGATTCACAGCACAGAGGTCTAGACTAGAGTTGGGGTCATCTTTGGCTTCCCAGTCCAGAGCCACTCAGGAAACACATGGAAGTGGCATTGCATCCACACTGAGGTCCTGGAGTGGCCTCTGTCAGCGCTGAGAACCAAGTCCCAAGCCTCAGACTGCTTGGTTCTCAGCAGTTGTATAGGTAGCTGGCTGTTGAGTGGCTTTTTAGGCTACTGCTGAGAACCAAGCAGTCTGGGCCTTTGGACTTGGGTTGGGTGAATCCAGGTTGTTTTGTGAGAGACCCTGGGCATCAGTCTTCCCATCTGTAAAATGGGTCAATAACCCCAGGGAACACCTGGCACATGGTAATCCAATGGTACACATGTGAGAGGTTGGTATTCAATCCCACTAATAAGAAAAAGGTTATAGGGGAAAATGTAGACAATGCTAATGACAGCTGTCCACTTGATAAGGGGGTGGACCAGACTTGCCTTTATTGGTTACACAAAGTACCCACAGTTTATGAAAGAGACAAATGCCATTGGCATTTTCCGAACCTGACTTGACATTTGGTTCCTGTTTCTCTCTCCACCCACCACATGCAGGGAGTGAGTTTTCTGGGAGCCCCTACAGCCACCCTCAATACCCCTCGTACAACGACTCCTGGAGGTTTCCCAACCCGGGGCTGCTCGGTGAGTACTGGCGGAGGCCCTGCGGCACCCCTGGGTCATCAGCTGCCCCATTGGGCACCCTCATTGGGCCAGGGTCCCTCAATATCCTCAGGTCCGGTCACTGAGGTGGGGTGGGTAGCTCTCCCCAGATGCTTGCAACGTGGGAGTTGTGATGGGGCTTCAGGACAGTAAACACCACTCCAGCCCTGCTTATGCCCTCAGCGCTCCCCCAGATGTTTTAGTGGATAAGGGAAAATGGCACAGAGGGGGAACAGATTTAAAAAGGCCATTGAGGGAGAAAGAGAAAGGTAGGAAAAGTGCCTGCCCAAGAGTAACATATTTCTTAAGAATCATTGAATATTTTGGTGAGAAATCTCTAAATAAGAGCAGCCAGGAGACCAACTTGGATTGATTGGTAGTGGCTATCTGTCTTGGTAAGGACGCTGAGGCATGGATATTGATTAGTGATGTCTGCCATGGACACCACTAGAGCCAGCTCCATTAGAAATGGGTTGCCCTGTGGCTGAGGGCCTGCCAAGTCATGCCGTTCCGAGCTCAACTGGTGCCCAGACTCTGCCCAGGCCTCAGACTGCAGATGGTCCATGGCTGCGGCCAGCCTGATCTGTGTACATCATCAAAGATATTTCGGCCACCGCAAAGACCAAGCAGGGCTAACTCAGCCCTCAAAAGGCCAAGGAGAGCCCTTTGTTTTGTTGCAATGAACTTACATGAGACCAGCTGGTGAGTGCCAGCTGGAGCTGAAGATTCTGGAGCATGAAGCAGGGGCTCAGGGCTCACAGATGTCACACACCCTGGGGGCAGAGCCAGTGAATCAGCCTGTAGGCAGCAACACCGATCTCTCCCCAGCAGTCAGCTGAGGAATTTCCAGTAAGGTCAGGCATGGAAGGGCCTCTGAGACCATCCAGGTTTATCTGTACAGCTTAATAAGGCCTGCTTAATTAAGAACCTGTTACTTCCCTGGATCCTGAATTATTTCAGGACTGAGAAACACAGACTTTATCAAAAAAGCAAGAACCTGGTATCTTCAAACTCAAGTTGCTAGGCATGGGTCTGCGAAGGAGGCCATGAAGTCACAGCCTTGGCCCCTTCCCCAACCTGCTTTGGTGATTAGGACAGACAATGACGTAGACACCATCCCTTCCTGGCTGCAATCCTTCCGTGAGTTTGAGCCTTGGGCCACCCAAAGCATTTTGGTGTAGCTTGCAAAACTTCAGGTGAAATAAGGAACAATGCCAACTAGCACTCCAGGCCCTGTGCCTGAATATTTCATTTTATAGCAGACTGGGTTCTTGACATCTGTGGCCTCCTGGAGGGGCTGAATCTGGGGACTGATTGCTCAGACTTCTTTTTTGGTTTTGGTAAAAATTACTTCTAAGTATGAGGTAAGGTCTCCACTTACCTAATGCTTTTCCTTAAACAACGCCCCTGAGAGGCCCTGGGTTCTGAGTTGGCCCAGTTGTCAGTTTCAGGAGGCAAACGCTGACCCTGAACTGAGTCTTTCGGCAGGCGTTGGGGTGGAGGGATGGGTCAGGAGGCCTGAGCCTGGGAGCCGCTCCCTGCAAATTGGCCTCATACAGAGCCCTGGTCCCAGCACTGCTGTGAGACCCACAGGGGATGTGGCACAAAGAAAGCCTGGGTCAGGCTGCAGGAGGTGTTCCTTGTGATGGGGATATGACCCCAAGGAGGCCATGTTGACCTAGGACCTCCACATATGGTCGTGTACTGCCCAAGGGGACAAGTGGGGGCTGAAATCAAGCCCATGCATGGCACAAAGCTCCAAGCCCTGGCACAGGAGTATGGCTGCTTTTTCTAATTTTTTTGAGGTATCTGATAGGCTTATTTGCCTGGGAGTTCAAGAATCAGAGAAGTAAGAAGGGAGCTGCTCAGGCAAGCATAGCAAAGGGACGGAGTAGGAGGTAGGGCCACAGGTGGGGGACCTTGAATGCCACACTGAGAAGTCTGCACCTGATTGTGTGGGCAGCTAGGACCCCAAGGGGATGTCAAGGGGAAGGTGGGACTAGACCACATCCGAGGCCTTTGCCGCTCAAGCTGGAGTGAAATCCAGTTCATATCCCCAATTATATGCGTGGACTATGTGTCTGGTGTGAAAAAGTTGTGGACAATGTCCCAGGGAGCTCACAGGCTGGGGGTGAGAGAGCCTCAGGCAAGTGTATCTGTGCTGGGATGTGCTCAGTGACTTGAGGGTGTCCAGAACCAGTGTGGAGAAGAGGAAAAAGAATCAGAACTCTGTTCATCTAAAGGAGCACTTGCTAACTGTGCAGGCACTGGGCAAAACCCCTCATGTGGGTTACCTCATTTTATCCTTTCAACAGTCCTAGGGGGCACAGGTATCAATATTATCCTTACAGATGAAGAGTGAGGCTCAGAAAGGTTAATTAACATACTTGAGGTCACACAGCATGCAGGGAGCAGAATGAGAACTCAAACTCCCGTCACCCTGACTCTAGAGCCTGTATTCATAATCAGTGTGTGATGTGGTACCCTTACTCTTCCTGACCAATTCAGTCTGAACAGTACTAGAGCCAGGAAAAGAGGCTCATCTCTCCATAGTAACAAGCCTGGGAATCCCAAATACTCAGACCTTGTATGCCATGAGAACAGCGCTGATCTATTTTTGAAAGCCAGGTTATTGTATTTATCTGTCAGGCTTTCAGTTGCAAACAACAGATTCCACTCTGGCTGGTTTAAGCAGAAAGTGAATTTATTAAGGAATATTGGGGGCTCCCAGAGTCTCCAGGAGGACCAAAGAGACAGGCATGGGACACACAGCCAGGAACAACACCGGGGCTGCTCTAGCATAATGCTTCCACTGTTGGTACCCGCAAGCAGCCCGCTCTGTGCTGCTGCTTCAGCTGGGGTGCTTAAGAGTTCTGCCCTGCCTCTGTACCCACCTCCAGCAGGTAGAGTCTGTCAGCCCACTTCCTCAAGCTGCTCCCCTCCCAACTGAGGTCAAACTCAAGAGATTCTAATTGGCAGGGCCCAGGTGACGGCCCTGTGCCCTAGCAGCAAAGGCAACTGGGAGAATGAGTTCTGACTTCTAACTCAAAGAGGCAGGCCTCATACCACAGAAAACTCTGCAAACGCAAGGAAAGTTTAAACAATGTTGGGCTGTTACAAACATGAGAAATGGCCCCTGCCCTGCCCAAGTCTGTAACCTGGGGAATCACGGTCAGGTCATCAACCAATCTGGGCCTCAGTTGCCTCAGGTGTAAAATGAGGATAGTGGCCTCTGGCAGCTTCATTCAAGCGGGAGCTGAACACGATGCTCTCTTGAGGCCCGGAATGCAGTGATCCCACTTTCCTGAAGGTGAGTGAGATGCCAGGCTTGCTCTGCCACAGTCTTGCAAATAAGTTCCAGGCCCGCTCCCATCTACCAGCCTGCCCTTTCCCCAGTGTCTTCGGGGCTTTAGCTGAAAGAATCCCACTGGGCTGGAGAAGTAGGGTATTTCTGCTGCTTGGGGCGGGTGCCAGTGGGGAACCTGCTCTGAGGTGCCTCTGTACTCTGCTAGATCAGTGGGAGCTGTGGAAACAGGTGGGACCCTCACACACCCTGCCCACACCTGGATGAGCAAGGCCACCTAAAGAAGCTGCAGGAGAGCCTCCCTTCCCGCCGAGCCTCCTCCCCAGGAGCTGCCTGCGGTCTGCCCATGCCCGGCCCAGCCAGGGTGGCCGGGATCCAGCATCCCAATGGGGCCCCGGGCAGGCGGGGCGGCGGGCTGGCAGCAGGAAGAAAGGCCGCTGCGGTCAATTAGGATTAGAACCAGAGCGCCTGTGGCCACTGTAAAGGGATTAGAGAGCGAGTAGGAGCCCGGAATGACTGTGTCAAGAAGTAAATTGATGATAATGTGAATTAGAGAGGAAAAATGACAGAAGAAAGGACAAGTTTATTCTAGTTGGAGGGCTAATGGGCACCAGGAAGACAGAGCACTTTGTGGGGGGATGTTTTCATTTCTCACGGTAAATGCAAGCATTTTTGATTTTTGCCATGGGGCCCTCGCACTGGGGTCGCTGGACAGCGTGGCCGTGAGATTAGGCTTTGAGAGGGAAGCGAGTCAGAGCCCAGAGTAAGAGCTGGCCCCTGGAAAACTCTGAGGCCCGAGGCAGGATTTCCTGTCCCTCATTTGGGGGGGCAGCCCCTGTGGTTTTCCTGCTCCTGTGCCATGCCCGGGCCCACGGGGCTGGCCCTCACATCTCACACACACACACACACACACCCCTCACCTGGGCCCACGGGGCTGGCCCTCACATCACACACACACACACACACACACACCTCTTACAGATACTCTGTGGGTGACTGGCCCCCTCCCTCAGGAGAGAGAGCAGAGGAGGCTGCCAGGCGTCTGAGTCAGGGCTCCAACCAGGGAGGTGACAGAAGGCAGCAGAAAAATCCATCTCTGGGAATACTTCAGCATAGCACTGGTGTCCATACCTTCCGGAACAGCACAGCAAGGCACTGCCTGCTACCCCATCATCACTGCTGCTTGAGCCATTACTGCCTTCCTGGGGGCTGGGGAGGGAGAATTTTACCCACTAAATGGAGCTGGGATTGGAGGGGCGGTGGCACATGCTAATCCTGCCCTCTTGATTACCTCCTAGCAGTGTGACCCTGGGCAAGCTACTTATTCTCTCTGTGCATCAGTTTCCTCATCTGCTAAATGGGGGCAATACTAGTGCCTACCTGATAGAATTGTTGTGGAAATTAAAAGAGTTAAAGCATATAAAGGACTTAGAAAAGTGTCCATTTCCAGAGCACCTTCACATCCTTACCTCATGGTGCCCTCATATAGCCCCACTGTGACCCCCCTTTTAGAGATGAGAAAACTGAGGCTCAGGGCAGTGCAGCCACTTGTCCAAGTTCACTCAGCCAGGAGTGATAGAGCCTGACTGGCAATCTTCAGGCCTTGGTGCCCAGTTATGGCATCTGGGAGAATTGCCAGGATTGGTTTGGATTTGGGTGAGATTTCAGAATAAGTAGGAGTCACCTCCCCTGGGGAATTAAGAAGCTTACTATTCCTGCTCCAGCAGACACGTGGTCTACAGTGGCTGACAGGACCCCAGCTGCTATCCACTTGGATAAACACGGCCCTCTGACATAGCTGTACAGGCTGTGAACTGTGTCATGGAAGAAAGAGTCCTGAACTAGGGGCCGACAACCAGAATTCCACGCCAGGCTCTGGCCCTGAGAGGCTCTGTGGCTTTGGGCACATGAGTGGTCTGTTGAGCCTCAGTTCTACTACCCCCAGCCCCACCTGTAAAAGGAAGAGATGGCCTAGTATCTCTAACTTCTGTGGTTCTGAGAATCTGCTCGTCCCCTTGAGCCCCCCAGACCCTTTTGTCCCTGGAGAGGAGTTTGAACACAGAGCAGGGCTCCTGCAGGCCTCATCCAAAGCAGGCAGTTAAAGAGAGCAGCCCCGAGACAGCGGGAAGAACCCAGCATCGGTACAAAATGCCCCACACTGGCTTTGTCTGGAGGTCACAGGAAGCAGGGCTGTCCCCTGCCCTTCGCCCACGTACTCTCATATCCAAATCTTCATGTCCTCCAAGTTCAAGCCAACCTGCTTCCTCCAGGAAGCCTGACCCTGCCAGAATAATCTTGCATTCCCAGAGCTCTTTTCTCAGAGCTCTGACCCCCTTCTTGACTCTGAACACTGGCCTGCATTTGTTCATTATTGCCCAGCGCTGCACCCAGTAGGGTTGGAAAATAAATGAATGGGCAGGGTCTTTACTATTGTTGGTTCACTCAGTGCTGTTGCTCATTTTCTCAGCAAACCTAGCCGAGCATGTGCCATGTGCCATGTGTCAGGCTCCAGGCTGGGGGCTGGCAACAGACACCGAGCAGAGCAGAACCCAGCCCCTGCCTGTGTGGGGCTCTCCGTGCAGGCGAGGGGGAAGAAGCACAGAAAGAGAAGGTCAGAGCCCGTGGTCCAGCCTGCAGCACGGCGTGGGCTCAGGACAGGGGGCATCCCAGGGGAGGAGACAGGGGCTCTCGGACTTGAAGGAGGCGGCACTATTCAGCAGACAGGAAAGGGGGTGAAGGTGCAGCCAACGTGTTCCAGGCAGGAGGCAGAGCGTGGAAAAGGCGCGGAGGCGTGCGAGTTGGATATAATGGGCTAGCTCTACCTGCCCCATAGGATTAAATCAGACGACGTGTGTAAAGGGGCAGGAAGTGCTCAGCCGGTGGTAGCTGCCATTAGGCCTCTGGTATACTTGAGATGGCTGCAGAGTGTGATTTTGCAGGAGCAGGGTGCCTGGGAGCGAGCCGGAGGGGTGGTGGTCCTAGAGGGAAATCCAGAGGTCTGCAGGGCTAGGTCACAAAGCTTCCACAGGCCAGACTACGAAGTGATGACTTTTCATCGTCTTGCTCAGAAACTGGCAAACTTTTCCTGTAAAGCGCCTGATAGTACATATTTTAGGCTTTGCAGGCCGTGTGGTCGCTATTGCAGTACTCAGCTCTGCAGTAGCAGCATGAAAGCAGTCACAGACCATGCAGAAACGAACGGGCAAGGTTCGGTCCCAGTCAGACGTTAATTACTGAAACAGGCAGCGGCGTGAGGGCGGGAGGGGGGCAGGGGGCGGGTGGATTTGGCCTCGGTCTGCCTACCCCAGCTCTAGCTGGTGAGGAGGGCCTGAAACCTATGACCAGGCAGCGGCCCTGATCAGGGACTGAGATCTTGGTGAGAGAGGACAGTGGCCTGGACTGAGGGAGGGGGAGGAAGGGACAGAGACAGGGACACTGGTGGAAAGGGGACCCCCGGTACGGAGCTGGGGGCACAAGGTCTCCCTCCAACCTCCGTGGCCTCTTCTGTCTCTTCCAGGCTCCCCGTACTATTACAGCGCCGCTGCCCGAGGAGCTGCCCCGCCCGCAGCTGCCACGGCCTACGACCGTCACTGACCCCAGGAGCCAGGCAGGCGCCAAGCACTTATGACACATATCACTGAAGGCCATAGCCTCCCAGCCCCCTCCGAACACAGCCAGAGGGGCCCAATGAGACCGTCCCCCCAGCAACCCCCCACTCGCCTGAAACTCCCTCCCCCTTTTCCTGCCAGGGACTCTGGGCTTCTGTGGTAGGGATGTTGGACTTCTAGACACCCGTCCATTTCTAAGAGTCAGTTGATGAGCTTCCCCCGACGTGACTGGGTCTCCACAAACCAACAGACTGTTCTGCAGACAACTGCAGCCCCAGCCCAGCCTGCCAGCCCCCTAGCTGTCTGACCACCCACCCGTCTTCCTGCCCCAGGCCTGGGAAGGAGAGTTTTTGCTTTTGTTGCTTCAACAGCACCCGTGTAAATACCTTCCTGCTTTTTTGTGGGCCCGAGGGTCCAGCTGAGCAGACTGCCCAGCCATTATGCATCCAGCACTCCCGCCGTGTCACAGGATGACTTAGACCTGTGCACAGAGCATCCCCTCTGCTCTGGGTGCCCCCTGAAGGTGTGTTTGGAGATGCCCTTGAGACTAAGGATGCCCACCCCCAGGCCCCAGCTCCCTGCCCATTGCTACTTCTTTAATATCTGGACTAAGAGTCTCATTGGGTTGGCTTTGCTCTAAGCACCCCCCACCCCAAGACCTCTCCCTGGCTTCCTGCCCCCATTTCCCTGGGCCCAGTGCAGTGCGAGCAGCTCTTTTCCGTATCAAAGGACTCAAAAAGAACTGTCTAGGAGATTCCTCAGCTACTGTTTTAAAGTAAGATGTCGTCCAAGGTGCTGATTGCATTGTGGACTTGGAATGTTAGGGCTGGACGGGACCCAGGAGATGATGGTCCAAGGCAGGCCTGAGGCTCTCCAGACCCCCAGCCCCTGGAACCACTGAACTGAACTGGGATGTGTTTTCTGAGGTGTGCCCAGGCTCAAATCACATTGGACACCTACCACGGACACTTCTCCCACCCTCCAGGATGCCAGTGAGTGGATTCTGGGCAAGCCTGTCCCTGCCACATAGACAATGATTAACAAAAAGGACTTTGCCTGGACCAAGGACCACAAACACCTACAGCAGTCAGCCAGAACTTCCTGACCAGCCCCTCCCGGGCCTCATGGAGCCTAGTATGCAGCTAGGAACAGAAGTGCTCTGGTGGGGGCGGGTGCCTGACTTGCATAGTGGGTACCTACCTGTTGATGCAAGGGGCTGTGATGGTCAGGGCCATGGCCAAGGGCCTCGGGAGCCTGGAGTGGGAGCTGGGATAACTCACTGTCGGCTGGAGTGGTCAGAAAAAGCCACCTGGGAGGATCTGGGGGACAGAGGAAAGCTTCCTGGAGAGGAACAGGACAGGCAGTGAGGAATTGGTGTGTGAACTGGGAATGGTTTTGAAATGGAGGTACCAGGGCCACCATCTCTTTGCCTGGGGCCTCAACTCCTTGCACAGTATCTCTTGCCGACTCAGAAGAGACAGGTAGAGGCCCCATCCAAATATGGACTGAATTACCACAATGACAGTGGACTTTGCCCTCTCCTGTGACAGTGTGCCTGATGTCTGCATGTCACCAAGCTGGCAGAGAGCTGGGGCAGAGAGATAACTTGAGGTTATCAGGCCTAAGAGGTCTTGTCCTGGCCGCACCTCTACCTGCCTTGCTGTGCGTCCTCAGGCAAAACCGTTCACCTCTCTGAGCCTCAGCTGCCTTGGTAGAGCAGGGTCCCCTGCAGAACTACCCAACAGCTCTCTCCTTCCCTTCCTTTCTCCCGGAGCACTGAGGCTGTGATACGGGCCTCTGGGCAAGCCCTCCACGTCCGAGCAGGCATAGTGGGGCACTGGAGTCCTGCTAATATTCGGACGAAGTGAAAAACAAAGAGCACCTGGGGGGGGGGGGGAAACTCAGCTTTGAGGAAGACCTAAGTCAGCTCCCCTTAGGGGAAACTGAGGCCCAGCTTGGGGAAGCCCAGAACCGTGCAGGGAGACAGAGCAGACCTCCTCTGGCCACCACCAAGTATCCCCCCGCCCCACAATGCCCCTACAAGGTGGTGGGATAGAAGAAGAAGCCGAGGCCTAGCAAGGTGGAGTCCCCAGGCAGTGACTGGTGGAGGTGAGGCTGGGACTCGGCCCCCTGACCCCTGGCATGTAGCGATGCTCTCATCCCTGGGGCGGGAAGTCGACAGTGAGGGCAGCAGGAGATGGTTCTGGGCCACCACTTCAGACGAGGTGTCCTGGAGCTGCCAGAACTGCTGAGGAAGCCCAGTCACTCAGGGCAGCAGTGGAGTCAGTGAGCTCACCGCAGGCACACCCACCGCCCTGGAACCTGCTGTGCCAAGAAAGGAGGCAGCTGGGGCCAGAGCTCACCTCCAGGAGCCCAGATGAACCAGCTCCAGCCTCCACCTGCCGGGCAAGGTAGGAGCAGATATGTTACCTGGACCCTCCCACCTTCCCTCCCTTCCAGAGAAAGTGGTGGAGTCTGGGGTCTGCAGCATCGGCCTCTTGGCCTCTGGCACCCAGATCCTTGGATCCTGATGCTCCTATGGTCTCAGGCTGTTGGGAGGAGGCCAGCCTTCCCTGAACCGGCTACCTAAGGCGCACGCCCTCCTTCCTCGGCAAAGCCCACTGGCCCCAAGTGCACCACTCTCCCCATCCTGTTCCTCCTCCTGACCTGTGATGAGCTCCCTCCATGCCTTTTCTCTCTCCCCTGAGGCTCTGCACGTCCTCAGATTGCATTTATATTGATTACTACCACTTGATTCCTGGGCTTCCAGGCAGAAGCACAAGCGCACACGGACACACGTGCATGTTGCCACACATGTACCTGCTCTCACCAGCTGAGTTCCCCACGCTGCCCAAGGAGCTTCCTGGGAGCTTGGAGAGGAAGGTTCCAAAGGACACAAGCCGTTGAGTAGATGCCAGAGAATTCTGAAGGAAAACACAAGGCCAGGGCTTTCACCAGCATTGTGGCAGGAGGTCTGGGGCATTCCTCCATGGGCCTTCAGCCCTGTGTTCCAGCTCTTTTTGAAAAGGACACTATAGATTTTACGAAGATTTTTCATACCATTAGTCTATCTGAAACCAAGAAAAATTTGATGACATATCAAACCCAACATCCCTTTCCCAAGGCGCCTTAGTTAGGGTTAGCCCTTTCATAATTGATGTTTGTATGGTGCTTTGCAATCCTTGACCATCCCATGGGGCAAAGATCACAATGCCCATTTTATAGATGGAAAAACTGAGATTTAAGGCTCACATGGCAAGATGGAGGTAAAGAGAATTCTCAGATTTCCAGGCCTCATTCTCTCCAGATTCATGCTCCTGTCATGGGCATGTGTGGCTTAGAAACACCCTTCAGTCCCCTAGAAACCCCCAGACCTGCAATGAGGAAAGAAAAAACAGAGACTCAGAGGCTGGCCTGACGTAGGGGCCAGGGGGTTGGTAGCTCTGCTGGTCCACCTTGATTCCCATTAACACTGAAAACTGCAGAGTCTTTGCCACATTCACACCAACTCTTCTGAGGTTTCATCCCGACTCATTCCCTGCTGTGCCTGAGACTCAGAGGGAGTTGGAGCTTATCCAAGGCCACAGCACAAGCCCTGACAAGGCCTGGTCGTGGGCCCAGCTCTGACTCCCAGGGTCCAGGGCTCCAGCCTCATGAGCTGTCCCCACATTCCTCTTGTCTTTGTCCTTCTTGCTGTGGAACAGACTTCAAATCTGGCTGTGACAATATGCAGCAGTCCCCAGATTTGGGCCATCAGGGGTGCCCAGAGCCCTGGGAAGCACAGATCACTATCTCAAGGGCCCTGGACCAGCTGCTTCCCAGGCCATGCAGGTGGGGTGACCTTGCTGCTTCTGCAGGGCACGGGCAGCCTGGGCAGTGGGGGCTTGCCCTACCCAGCGGCATTCAAGTGTGAAAACTTTTAAAATGTTCTGTCAGCCAAAAAAAAAAGTCTGTGGGTAAAATTTGACCCACGGGTCACCAGCTTGTGACCCCCATTCTTTGTCCAGTGCCTCCTTTCTTCTTCACCTCCTTGTCCTTCATTGCAGATGAAGGACATCAGGGGAGATGGGAGCGCAGAGAGGTAAGAGATGAGGTTCAAGTTGTCCAGCAAGTCAGTGTCAGGAACAGGCACCCCCAGTACCTACTCTCTCCCTCCCACACTCTGGGCTCTTGCAGGCTGTTTGGGCTTTGCAGGCGGGGTGGGTAGACTGTCGGAGGGGGTAGGGATAGGGGACTGTTGGCTTCGAGGGGAGGTCAGTGCTGCCGGTGTCTTTCACATGCCCAGGGAAGAGCCCCAGATGTGGCCATAGGGCACTGAGGGATGAAATCCCTTTATGAGAAGTCACATCCAGAGCGTCTGCCCTGCCTTGGCAGCCTCTGACTCCAGCTACCCCTTTCTGGATGACATTTCAGTTAGAATTTAGCTCCAAGCCATGGAGAGGCAATCTTAAAAACAAGCCAAGCACTCCTGACAAATACCTGGAAACAAGATATGTCTGAGACACAACTGCCACAAGGGTAGAAGAAAAATCCAGGCCCCTGGATAGGCCAGGCCTAGGCCAGAGTGGGTGGAACCACAGCACCGGGGGCTAGACCAGCTCCCCAGTGGCCCCGCTAGGAGGTGGCTCTGCGGCCTTGGCCTCTCCCCCATCCAGGAGCCCGCCTCTGACGGTTTCCAGGCACACACACCAGTGCTCCTGGAGAATACATTCCTTTAGTTCTTTTGGCCTCGGAGAGGTCCAAGGCAAGTGCATTTCTTAAAAGGTAACAAGATACATTACTGGAAAGTTGGACAGTCAGGCCATGACTCCTAGCCTGCATTCTGCCCCACCTCCTGGCAGCCCCTTTGGCCCCTTGTCCCCTGTCGTCCCCGTACCTCAGGATTTCCTCTTGCATATTCATGGCAGAGCCGAGGTGTCCATCCACCTTCCCCACTGTCAGCGCGGCTGCACCTCCAGAGTGGCGGCCAGGTCCCAGGGGGCCGACTGGGAGCGAGCCCCTTGCCTGCCCGCTCTCCTGACCAGGGACCTGCAGCTTCTCTGACACGGGCTGCTTGCCCGGCAGCAGGCAGGCACGAGCCTATCTTTCATTCACTGTAATTTCTCAACACTGGGGTCCCGTTCCTGGACCCCGCGGATCAAAGGGGACCTCAGGGTCACGTCCCTGCCATTCTAGAGTTTCAATCCACATGTTCCCAGGGGTCCTGTTTAGCTCATCTCCAAGTTAAGGGTACACGTAACTACCAGTCACTAAGTCTATTCTTCTCCCCACATCTTAGACCCCTGAGCCACTTGAGGAGAAAATGCAGCAGTTTATCTATTTATTGAGGGAATCTTGATGAATTGTAAAAGGGGGTCGGTCTCAGGTGGTATATTTGGCCT